GAGATGGAGGGGCGGTCTGAGAGCCCCGGGCAGGAGAGGGGCTGGCAAAGGAAGGGGGCACCCAGACAGGGGAGGCCAGATACCTGGGCAGATACCCAGGGAGGGCCCAAGGCTATTGCCAGCAGGGGCCAGGGAAAATGGCCTTTCAGCCTGCAGGCAGGCAGCTTGGGTCAGGCTTTCTCTCGCCAAGGAGAGTGGTCCCTGGCTGCCCATTTCTGGGGACACCCAGCCCTACATGTCTTCTCTTACTTCTCTGCTGCAGGATGAAGGAGCGGGGGGAGGGCTGCTGCAGCCTCTGGGCGGGTCAGCATGTCGTTGTAGCTGCAGCAGAAGGTGAGGTGCCCCACCAGCAGCCCCAGCATGTCAAACTGCTGTGTCTCAGAGCAGTGGTGCGGGATGGTGATGGCTCGTGCAAAGCAGGGGCAGAGCTGGGGGAAGAGAGGCAGGGCGGGCAGAGGGTGAGCCCGGGCACACGGGGAGCCGCGGCTGCTCCCAGAGCAGCAGCCCAGGGCAGGGCAGGGCTGCTGGACCCAGGGTCCTGCCTGTGCGCTCCTGGGAGAGGACAAGACAGGGCAAAGAGCCCTGCTCCCAGGCTCCTGCTGGCTGGGTGCCCGGCTTCCCTGGAAGGTGCTGGGGCTCTGTAGCCAAGAGTTTCGGAGCTAGAATCGACTATGTAGGGCCAAGGCTTTGGGATCTGAGGCCAAAAATCTCAGGGCTATGTTCGACTATGAAGGGCCAAAACTTTGAAGTCTGTGGCCAAACGTCTCAGGGCTAGGATCAACTATGTAGGGCCAACGCTTTGGACTATGTAGCCAACTGTTTCGGAGCTAGGATCGATGATGTAGGGCTAAGCTTTTGGATTCTGTAGCCAATCGTCGCAGGAAAATATCAACTGTGTACAAGCAACGGTTTGCACTCCATGTCCAACCGTCTTAGTACTAGGATCGACCATGTTGGGCCAAGGCTTTGGGGTCTGTGGCCAAACGTCTCAGGGCTGGGTTCGACTATGAAGGGCCAAAAATTTGAGGTCTGTGGCAAATCGTCTCAGGGCTAGGATTGACTATGTAGGGCCAAGGGTTTGGACTATGTAGCCAACTGTTTCGGAGCTAGGATTGATGATGTAGGGCCAAGCTTTTGGATTCTGTAGCCAACTGCTTCGTGGCTAGGATCGACTATGAATGTCCAAGGTTTTGGCCTCTGTGGCCAACCCTCTCAGGGCTAGTTTCGACTATGTAGGTCCAAGGATTTGGGAACTGTGTCTAACCGCCTCAGTGCTAGGATCGCCTTTGTAGGGCCAACGGTTTGGACTCTGTGGCCAACTGTTTCGGAGATAGGATCGACAATGTAGGTCCAAGGTTTTGGGGTCTGTGGCCAACCGTGTCTCAGGTAGGATTGACTATGTAGGGCCAAGGGATTAGGGTCAGTGAGCAACTGTTTTGGATCTAGGATCGACTATATAGGGCAAAGTATTTGTGGTCTGTGTCCAACCGTATCAGGGCTAGTTTTGACTACGGAGGGAAAAGGTTTTGGGCTGTGTGGCCAACTTTTTCGCGGCTAGGTTCGACTATGTAGGTCCAAAGGTTTGAGATCTGTGGCCAACCTTCTCAGGGCTAGGATCGACTATGTAGGGCTTAAGCTTTGTAGTCTATTGCCAATTCTTTTGGGTCTAGGACCGAGTATGTAGGTCCAGGGGTTTGGGGTCTGTGGCAAACTGTTTAGGAGATAGGATTGACGATGTAGGTCCAAGGGTTTGGGGTTGTTGTCCAGGCTTCTCAAGGCTAGGATCGAATATGTAGGGCCAAGGGTTTGGTGTCTGTGGCCGAATGTTTAGGGGCTAAGTTCTACTATGTAGGGCTAAGGCTTTGGGTTCTGTGGCCAACTGTTACAGGGATTGGTTAGACTATATAGGTCCAACGGTTAAAACTCTGTCGCCAACTGTTTAGGAGATAGGATCGACGATGTAGGTCCAAGGTTTTGGGTCTGTGGCCAACCGTCTCAGGGCTAGGATTGACTATGCAGGGCTAAGGCTTTGTGGTCTGTTGCAAACTGTTTCGGGTCTAGGATCGACTACAAAGGTCCAAGGGATTAGGGTCTGTGGGCAACTGTTTTGGATCTAGGATCGATTATATAGGGCAAAGGGTTTGGCCTCTGTGGCCAACTGTTTCGGAGCTACGACCGACTCTGTAGGGCCAAGGGTTTTGTGTCTGTGGCCAAACGTCTCAGGACTAGGATCTATGATGTAGGGCCTAGGGTTTCGGGTCTGAGGCCAACAGTCTCAGGGCTCTGTTCAACTATGTAGTTCCAAAGGTTTGGGATCTGTGGCCAACCGTCTCAGGGCTAGGATCAACTATGTAGGGCCAACGGTTTGGACTATGTAGCCAACTGTTTCGGAGCCAGGATTGTTGATGTAGGGCCAAGCTTTTGGGGTAGCCAACCGTCTCAGGGCTAGGATCGACTATGTAGGGTCAAGGGTTTGGGGTCTGTCGCGAACTGTTTCGGACATAGGATCAGACAGAGTAGGG